GTGTGTGTGTGTGTGTGTGTGTGTGTGTGTGTGTGTGTGTGTGTGTGCACTACATGTTTGGATATTCTTTTTGCAGATGCCAGCTTTCATCATCATCATCTCATGTGGCCTACAGTGTTGCTTATTATCAGCATGTTTTTTTTTACCCTCTGCAGTAGAAAAGCAGGATGTGTGTGTGTGTGTGTGTGCGTGTGTGTGTGTGTGAGAGAGAGACTGTGTGTTAGCCTTACAAGGCCACGCTTTTTGAACCAGGAAACATTTAAGGATAAGAAAAGACGTGAGGCAATGTTTTCCTTCATCTGCTCAGGAGCACAAAAACATCCTCTTTGCCCTGAACACCTTCTCTAAGGGGATGTGTGTGTGTGTGTGTGTGCGTGTGCGCGTGCGTGCGTGCGCCCTGCAGTCCTTGAGGTCGTTGTTTTGTTCCTCATGTCGTGGTGAGCTATTCACACAGCCCACTTTCCCGAGAGATGTGAAGAGCGCTGGAGGAACAGCTGGTATAGCACTGGAGTTGCAGAACTGTGGAGGAGCACTTGTGCCAACTCAGCCTGTGAAGCAGGAGCGTGCAGCCAGTTGGAGACGAGGAGGAAAGAATTAAGTGAAGGAGGGAGGGAGATGATGAAGAGAGGAGTGTGAGGTGGAGAATAAAAGGGGAAGAGGAAAGCAGGAGAAAGGCAGAAATGATGGACCAAGTGAGATTGAGTCTTTTATGTCGACTTTTCCGCTCCTTCATTGTATTTATTGGTAACTAAACATGTTTAAGAAGAATCCTTTAGTTTTGCAGTACTTTGTAACATGGCAGATTTTCCAGAAACAGACAAAGTCCAGGGTGCATGTTCTGTGTGTAGTTTGAAGGTATGTTAAATGTTTTGTTGACTGTGCTCAGCTCAGTTTCAGTCACAAAACATGTCAAGGAACTGACCCTTCATAGCGACCGGCTACTGCGAAGCATGAAGGAAGCAGCTGATGTCAGTCCGCTAATGCAAGCAAATAGTTTATCAATATTACAGGCAACTAATTGTTGCAGCTCTTAATGGATGACCATAGGATAATATATGACCTTCTCTAAACTGTAGGAATTAGCCTGTTGTTGTCTCCCTGCTCACAGTTTCCCCCCACATAGTCAGCAATTATAATCATGGACAACATTAGTTACACTAAAATGTAAGAACATAGTCAGGTTTATTGGAGCCAGGGCTGGGCAAACTTAATGTTATCGGCGTTCAGTGCGATCTACTTCAAACATGTTTTTCATTTGGTCTGTGCACTGGTACATTTGTAATGCTTTCAGTGTGAGGCCATTCTCATCTGTGCTGCCAATAGAAGCGGAAATGCCTTTACTGCTGCCTACTGCAGTGACCTACACATACCACTCCACTTTATTGGCTGGTAGGGAAAAGTAATAGAAAACTGATCAACTTCTGTCATAACATTGAGATATATAGCAACTATACAGATGTAAATCAGTGCTCTCTTTGTCCCGTGTTTCCTCTCTTTGTTTCCATGAGCAATGCCTCCGCAGTGATTTTATAAAACTGTCTCCATAGACCTGGACCTGCCTGCATTCAGCTTAGTTCAGCCATAACTGCCGTTTTGACCTACAGTATAAAGACCAGTGATATTACTCTGGGATGTGCTCTACCTGCAGACAGGGTTTCATCATGAACAGCCCTGTGTGTGTGTGTGCGCGTGTGTGTGTGCGTGTCTCCAGAGTGCAGTGATTTGCGCTCTCAGCAGCCAGGGTCTCATCCAGACAATACATTTGGCAGATATAAGGAGTGAACCCCCAAGTCTCTGCCAGACGCACGCACGCACCCACGCACGCACGCACGCACGCACGCACGCTGTACATATTCAGTCCTAAAGTTTTGCCATTCACAGATGCAAATAATGGTTATTTTATGCTTTGTGCTATTTGTAAAATCTAAACAAACATATGTAATCTTTCTTACTTCAGGGTTTATCAACACAGACACCTTAACCTTCCCTTGATGCTTAATTGTGTCAGATATCCTTTGATTGTTCTCCTGCTTGCATTTTGGCTTGTGTACAGACGTCTGGTTTGCAGCTCCCAGCTCGTCTCTCTCTAAGGGACCTGGCGGGGCTTTACTTTGCAATCCAGGCCGCCAAAACTCCAGCTCTCATCCTCAAGAAAGACTAATGGCCTTGTGCATCTGGCACAGTTAGCGTAAAACCTCTTGCTGTGTTTTAAATTACACATATTTTACTTAGACAGTAGACAGAGGAAGATTTGGAGGGGATGATTGTAAGATTCAAACTTAGTGTTGTGAAGATGTGGTTCATGCTTTGTGTTGGGCCCTCAAAACTCTCTGCAAACAGTTTGATATCAGATTTAAAGAAAGAAAAACTTCAAATTCCCTGCCGCAATTACTGTTTTTCTCTTGTGCCGAACAGCTTTAGTTTGCAGTTTTTTCTCCTGCACAAGTAAGACAATTGTTCTCTTCTTCCCATTTTGAACGGTTTGATTGCCATTTTTCTCCTTTGTCTCTCCTAGTCTGACTTTCTCTGCAGCTGTATCCGAGGCAGAAAATGATGATAATTGTGAGAGCGTGGTCCCAGTCTGACGAGGACAGAGCTGTCCTTCAGAGTATCTTTCTATCTATCGACACGCCTGTTTCTCTGCCAGAAAATGACAAAAAAGACAGCTGATTGATCCACAGCTGATGAACAAACTCCGAATCAATTTGACTCTATTTTCAAGAAAATATGACCGTGTAGTTTGTGTGTGGAGGCAAACGGGCAGAGTCAATAAATGATTCATATATGGATTACAGAAAGAGGCAGATAATTGGGTCAGAACTGCAGTTAGTTCGTTGGATATTTGCTACGATCAGAGTGTGGGAGAGGGGGAAAGTGAGGGAATAATTAAAGACAGAAAGGATAGATGGATGGAACACAGAAGTTGATCAAATGCGTTTATACCTGCACATTGTAGTACAGAGTTTGCACGTGTTGTGTATTCATTTCCTTATGAGCATGTGTTTGTGTTTCTCAGAGGAGAGTAATGTTGTATAAAGCCCAGTAATCCCTCTTTTGTTACGACTGTTGTCCCCCATTGTGGGGCAGAAGTCAATTTCCACAAAGCCACTAGTCTCTCACTCGGTTCTGTTTAGTATTTCTCTCTGTGTGATCGCCATAGCAGCACTGGGGTTGTGCATCAAGCTGTGTGTTTGTGTATACAGTGAGAGGGCTAGTATAGACCTGTCCTCTCTCCCTGGGGGTATGTTTGGGGTTCCTATTTGGGCTTTCTTCTTCACAAAGACCCACTTCCCCTGTGAGGCCCCTAACACACACACACACAGCAAAACAACATGCAGGTATTCACGTGGGCAAAGTCACTCAAAGTACACAACTTCTTTTCGTGCACATTTGCTGATGTTCACACACACACACGCACGCACGCACACGCACTTACATGTTTTTTGGTGGCTGAAGTGGAGGTTGTGACAAGTGGCCTCTGGGGATTTAGTGCTTCCTGGGGAAGGTCACATTGAAGGAAAGACTTTTTTTAGATGGAGGGAGAGGGAGCAAAGAAAGAGAGAGGATTGGAAGGAGAGAGGGGAAAACGGTTGTCACAAATAATCTCAGGGAACACAATCTACCTTCTCTTGCTCTGCTTTTGAATCCATTCACGCAGACAGAGAGCAATAAAAGAAGTAGGACGTGCAGGAAGCAAAGGATTAAGGAGACTGATAAGAATTCCACTGCAAATTGCATTATGGTGCCCTTTGTCAAAACCTCACATACAGCTAATAAAGGTAACCTTCACTGTGTACTTTCAATCTGATGAAAATGTGTTGTTATAGCAATAAAATAAACCATGTTGCTACCTGTATTTGGAGTTAATACCGTATGAGATTTAACAAAACCACGTTTTTTTTCAGATTTTCTTGCAAGACTTCTTAAAAATAAATCAAATTTTTTTTAATGTCTAATAACATTCCTGCTTTCAGCTTTACGTTTTCGCTTGACGTTGAACTGAAAGCTGATACCTCCATGCATTCTCCGCTAACTCCGCCATGAAATATGTCCAGAAAAAAAAGGAAAGAAAGAAAAGAAACATCGCTCAGCTGCCACTAGATCACAGCAAGGCTTGAAAAGACGCCACAGAATGTGTGTGTTCGTTACTAAATCTTTTTTTTCTTCTGTAATATGTGTCAGTGAGGCATGTGCAGGCATTCATGAGTGGGTGTACAGTATGCGTGTGCATGTGTGTGGAGGTTGCTCAGTGTTATAAACACCAGTGGAGTTTGTTTACATGCTCGATATCACTTTGGGAAAGCTGCCGTTCACTAAGATATGCACACATACAGTATATTTAGTGTGTGTACAGCAAAGAGGAAGGAGTGTGAGTCTTTGTGTGTATGTGTGTGTGTGTGATTACTAACTCCTAATAGTCTATTTCTAACTGTCTGTCCAGATTTCAAGTGCAGCTTGCCAGGAAGTGTAATTTCCTGCTGAAGAGACTGATTCAGCAGCATCCAGCTGTTGTGTTTGTGTGGAGAGAAAGGAGACAGAAAGAGGAGGCGACTGCCTGTTTTTTTTCCATACAACTACTTTATAGTTGTTTTTCCAGGTGCCACGAGCCCCCATCCCTACCTTGCCAGCCGCTCTCCCCCACCCACAAACCCACCAATCATTCCTCCCCCCTCCTCCCAGTTGCTCTTTTTCACACTTTTAAGTAGGAAACTTTGGCTCCATAATTCTCCCGAGAACCCAGGATAGATCATATGTCCGCACCCTCAGTTGTAATAGTTGTAGTAACCTTTCAGTGTTGTCCTTTCTTTCTGTGGTTATTCTAAAAGCCCTGCATCCCTGTATGCAGTTCTGAACTTATATCAACTATTAGCTGCATGCCTGTATTGGCAGGGTCTTCACGAATTCTGAAGAATTCTCAATTATTTGATTTCAAGATGGTGGGTTTTTACTTTTCTGTTTTCTTTTAAAATCCTATCGTAGATTGAAATATGCGCTGAAAATAATATATACATAACTCGACAGTTTCTATAAATACACAGTTTGTTTGTTTAGATTTAGAGTGAGGTGTGTGCTAGTGCCTTCTCACCACAGTATTACATTTAATGTGTGTGTTTTACAGTAAGCATGGGCATAGGAGGGCACAGCTCTGAGGAACACGTTGCCTCTGAAGGGGGAGTGAAAACAGGAAAAAAAAGAAATGGGTGCAGTTCAGTGTGATAATATTTCGATTAATTGTGCAGCCCCAGCAGGGAGGGAGCTCTTTGCTATACCGTACACAGAGTTTGGAATTTTTTTTTGTTTCTTCTGAAGCAGTAGAAGTTAAATATTGCCTAAAGGCAAAAAATGTAGGAATGGAAAGCAACAGGTGTTTTCTCCTTTCGACACACCCGCCTCTCTTTTGCTGAGTCATGATTTGTCGGCGGGGTCAGAGAAACCTCTTTGTAGCTCTGCTGTGACAAGCGAGGGATTCGCATCTTTTTTTCTGCTTTGCCCGTTTGAACATTCCACGCTTCAATGTCTCGCTTCTGCCCCCTCCTTTTGATCTGTAAGTGTTTACGTGTGTATTTGAGGTTTGATGTTGCATGAAGTTAAGTGCGGTTTTGCAGGTTTTTTGATGATTAAGCTTCATAAGCCCTCTTATCAGCTGTCTTCTGGATGATATGCACTCACATGCACTCGCATTCACATTTATCCACCTCTTGCCAAACTCCTGATGATTTACTTTCTTTTCCTCTGTTTTTCTTTTCCCTCTTTTTGCACCCTCTCTCCTCCCTCTCTCCCTCCCTCCCTTCTCTGCTGACTCACAGGTGGTGTCCTCCCGTCAGAAACACAAACGCCCTCTGACACATGGCTGACAGCGGGAGACGGAAGGGGCGAGAGTGAGTACGGGACTGACAGAGATACAGAAACACACGCACAGAAAGAAAGAGGCAGTCGGCCATCTGTGGTCGGTCCCCTGCTATTCTGCAGCTGTGTTGGAGTCAGCAAACGGTTCTGAACTCCGTCAGGACTCCAGAAAGGACCCCAGAGTGAGATTAAGGGTGTTCTCCCTACATCTCATTGCTCAGGGGATGAGCCTCGGCTGGGGCAATGTTAAGGCCTCACTGGCCTTGGATGCGGCCCCTGGGGGTGCTTCTCCGGAGGGGTGGGTGATACCCCAGCTGGATCTTCTGCTGTCACCATCCTCCACAGCTGTCATTAGCGGCTAATGAGCTGCTGCTAGAGAGGAAACGGAGAAGGGGGCCTGTGGAGAGAGGAGGAAGTTACAGCTGTTATTAAGAGGCCCAGAGGTCTCGGACAAGGAATTTGTCCTTCCTTCTTCCTCTGCAAGACAGTGGAACCCTTTAAAGCTGTTTCGGGTGCCAGCATGAAAGGATATCGAATTTGGAAATAATTGTTTTTAAGACATCTCTTTTCAGGTGTTTTTTTTTTTGTTTGATTACAGTCTTGACATGCCTCTGACAATGGTCACTATGCAGTTAAAATAATTTTTTTCAGCAAACTGATTCAGTATTTAGACATAAACTTTTTTCTCTCTCAACTGAAGGAGTTTTGACATTTAATTCATCTACCGTTTTTGGGTCAAGCTATTTAGTTTTTGTTTTACACTTTGATATTATTTTCACTTTTCTATGTCCTGAAGGACATTGGTCACCATGGCAGCAGCCTATCGTGTCGTGGTGAGCAGTGTCAGCTGCTACAACAGTGTGGTAGTTGACCGGCGAACTCACTCCCATGCTGTGCACTACTGCTCGGGGCCATGTGGGGCGCTGTCCCAGGGACTAGACTGTACCGTCGCACACCACGGCACCTGTTCCGAGCTGATTGTTGCACCTGACACTGCATACACTGACGCAAACGGCTCACTCATACACTCCCATAACATGATCACTCAACAACTCCACAACCATAGTAAAGTGACTGTTACCATGGATACAACTTATAATGGTGGTTTAGACAGCAGTGGCAATTTGTGTTTAGGGGAGGATAGCCCCACATGGCGTGGTAAAAAGGCTCCCAGTGGCGGAGGCTCGACTGGGAACCTGAGCTCCTCTGGCAGTCTGAAGGACATCACCGAAGAAGCCATCAACCTGGCCAGTGGTAAGCTCAAAGAGTTTTCTTTTGACAAGCTCCGGCTCTCTTCCTCCAACCATGTCACCTTCCGGAAAGGTCGTAAGGTCCGTCCTGATTCTCTCAGCCGTCGCTCCACCGACCTGGAGATCATCTACGGCCACTTCAGCTCCAATATCACCACAAATGGAACTGCTAATGGGATGGCAAATGGCACGGGTCTATCTAATGATGAGAACCTGCCACCATTTGTGCCAGGGAAGGTAGCAGGCCTGGAGGAGACGAAGCTAAAGGGCAGCACAGCCACCCTGTCGGCCATCACCAAATTGAGTGGTGGATCAACAAGTAGCCTGTCGAGTATTGGGTCTTTGGACCAAAATCTGATCACAATGGCCTCCCTGTACCGCAACACTCTAGGAGAGGAGAACCTGATTGCCCGTCTGCTGGAGAAGACACGAGCAGAGGCGGGCACTGGGGGAGCAGGCGGGGAGGACATCCGTGCCTGCCTTGACATCCTGCTTAAATGTTCTGAAGACTTAAAGAAATGCACCGACATCATCAAGCAGTGCATCAGACACAAGGCTGGTGGAGGGCCAGAGGATGGCGGAGCCAGTCCTGACAGTGTATATCGGGCCGTGATGACCCGACTCAGCTCCTATTTGAAGAGAATACCTCTGGAGCTGGAGGGAATTGGAAGTTTGGGAGGAAGTGGACAGGGGGGTCAGGGTGCGCTTGGAAGCGGCCACAGCGATCTGGCTGAGCTGGTCAACACTCTTCACTCCATCCAGCAGGGCGTGTACTCTCCAATATTTGGCAATGAGCAACCTCCTCGCTATGAGGATGTGGTGATGTCACCTCCCCTATCAAAGACTGCTCCTCATTCTACGGCTACTCTCTCTCCTGTTTCATCTTCCTCCTTGTCTTCTTTGAAATCAGACTCCATCCATACAAAACCAGTCCAAAGTTCCCCGTCCAGAGGCACTCCACTGACAAACGGACTACAACATCCACATCTTTCTTCTGTCACACAACACACACTCTCTCCCCCATCTGTCACATGCTCTCCATCCGGCTCCTCTCCAACACACTCTCCTTCCCCTCTTCGTACCTCCCCAACCCCACTGTACACACACACTCCTCCAGCATCCCCCATGGAGGCTCTTTATATTGAGGAGGAGGCAGATATGGGAAAGACACCTGAACAAGTCTCACAACAGACACACACTCCAACTAGAGGGGTGACCGCTACCCAGAACAAAAATGGGATTACATTGGGTCAACACATGCACCTGTCTTCTCATCCACACACGCTTCATAACTCTTCAAATACTTTGCCGGACAGCACTGGCTACAGCCCCACTTGGCCTTCCTCTGCCTCACTAACAATCTCAGCACCCAAAGCGGTGTCACACAGGAATGATGACATTGACAAGCTGCTGATGGACTTAGAAAATCTGTCTCAGAGTATGAGCCACCCCAAAAACACTGAGCCTCCACTTCCCGCCAAAACCAGGAAGAGAGAAGGAGGCCAGGGAATCACTTCCAGTGAGGCCCTTACTCAGCCTAAAATGGCCCAGTTCCAAGTCCAAAAGTCAGCCAACCACCTAGCCATGAATGGCCCTACCACCAGGACTCCCACTCCTCCCCAGGGAGAGAACAGTGAAGCTGTAGTGGGAGAGGAGGAGGATGGGGCGCTGCTGCTGAGGATCCTTGAGAGCATTGAGAGTTTTGCCCAGGAGCTGGTGGATACTGGGGCGGGGAGCACAGGGAGTGCTGAGAGGAACAGTGGGAAAGAGCGGGAGGTGATGAGGCTCCTGCAGGATACACTAACCACCACTGGCAGGGCTGATACCCCTCTGGAGAGCACAAGCCCACCAGCTGCTCCCATTGCTCCCTCCATGCACACACATGCAGCTTCACAAATCCCAGCTATACCGACAAAACACTTCCTGGTAAACACACCTGCAGTTTCACCTGCACCGACGCCTACATCTAAAGTTGCGTGCAATGCTACATCCGAAGCGTCACCAAAACCTACACCTAAAGCTGCCCCCAAACCTATGCCCACACCTGAGCCTAAAACTGAGGCTACAGATAAAGTTACAGAAGCCTCTACAGGGGAGACTGACACAACATCCATCCCTGCCCCTGTAATGTCTGCACCTGCAAGCCTGCATTCCTCCACACATTCAGCTGAACCTACACCTGTGGCTGCACCTGAAGCTCCAGCCCCTGTTGCAATCCCAATTGTGGTAGCCGCGAGAGATGCTGTCGGCGACCCTGTTGCTGTGAGAGACACTGGCTCAACCCTCCTCATCCAGCAGACTCCAGAGGTGATCAGAGTAAGTCAAAGAAACACTAAGTGGGACAGCTTTCTTCATTGAAGTCCCATTTTTTTTTATTTTGGAGGGTATTTGCATGCTGTGCAGCTTTGATTTCATTGATGTTCTCGGTAGTTGCACATAGTAAATATGTGTAATATTATATGGAAAGTTGAGTAAACTGATTATGGATCATAATACAAAGCAACATCATCTAGGTGTGTATTTTAAATGTTACTGTTGCCGTGGTGGGCAAGAAGCCTGAGAGTAACTGACTTATAGGCGGACAATCAGGAACCAAGAAACAGAGCGATTGACAGCATTAGATTGAGAATAGCCAATTTGTAAGAAAGCATCTGTTGCTTTCAATACATGTCATATTAAACGCCCAGGCAAGGATTCTATCGCTGTGACACAACAGGGTTGATGCCAGTGTAATTGATGGGCCGTGATGAATAGTATTCATTAGCTGCGATGAACACGCTGATGGAGTTTCCCTTTCTGGGCTTGAATAAAAAAGGCTGGTCCTTTTGAATCATGGAGAAGTTAGGAGTGGCTCTTTGTTTACTTTTCCTGGTTTCTAACTTGTGATGTGAATGTGTATATGTAAGTGTGTGTGTGTGTGTGTGTGTTTGCTCCCCTTTCCACCCTGGGGAATATTTAAAGGTAATTTTGGATTACAGAGGGAAAGAGAGGGTAAGGCAATTAGAGTTTGTGTTTACGTGTGGGTGGGTGTGTGTGTGACTTGGTGTGCATAACTTACTGACACTGCCAGAATAAACTTAGAAAGGGGGGTTACTTTAGCTTATCTCTGATGTGGGTGTTCAACAGCACATTATGGATTTAGGTAATTATCTATGACAGACAAACACCAATTATCAACACCGAGACAGAGCATCAAATCATTACCGCCTCACTTCCTTTGTTTTCTTTTCTCCTTTACTAATTTGCTTATTTCTTTGCTCTCCCGTCATTCCTCCTTCTCCACACCAGTCTCCCGCTGTTTGTTTGTGTGCATTCACTGAGCTGTGTAACCTTATGCCCTGCTGATATGTAGGGCACCTATTTATGAGGTTACCATGGTAGCTGCCACAGAACAGAACAGCCAGCAACCGAACACATAATTACGCGTCCTGTCTGCTTATCTGTCCCTCCTTCCTCTCTTTTTTTTGATATCCTGCTCCTCTGCCTCCACATTTCTTGTAATCTCTTGCATATTTCTTTCCGCCTTTCCCTCCATTTTCTGCATCCGTGTCATCTTTTGTTTTTCCTCTCCGTGTCCTTCCTTCAGCTGGAGTCGGTCTACGTTGACCACCACTTCTCTTCCCGCCCTGAGATTGGCCGCTGTGTTATTTTGGGAGCGGTGAATAACAGTTGTTGCTGTGTGGAGGGCAGAGAAAACCAATGGGAGGTGCTGATTGGAGCACAGCAGGAGGGGGGAGGAGGGTGGGGTAAGGTGGGGTAGGGTAGGGGGGCATTTGTTGGCACACTGAGTGTTAACGGTGTCGTTACCCTCCAACCCCTGGCACAGCTAGGTGTGAGCGAGACCTAAATCTGTCCACCCCTCTGTACTATGGCATCCCGCTAACAGACTCACTGTCGCCACAGTGTAAATGGACCTGGATGTGTCTGTGTGGGTGTGTGATGGTGTGCATGTTTGTTTATGTGTGCGCATCAAGGCTTTCTCACATGTCCAGGTGCTCCTGTATTAATGTACGTGTGTGCATTTACATATGTGCCCATGCATGTATATATGCACACAGGTGTATTCATACGAATTCGAATGAATGTGCGCTTGACCAAGCATGTGTGCGTGTGTGTGTGTGTTAGTTGGCCTGAGGGTAAGTTGACCCAGCTACTGTGGGTCACAGCTGAGTTTGAGAATAGCTCTCCGACACCCAATACCAACTCTGGCACTCTGGGAATTATGCTAATATTCCTCAGCGCCAACCCCGCCTCCTGCCGCAGTCGCACATTAAACTGCCAATCAAACTATAAACAAGGCATGCCCCCTCACACACAAGTGTGACAATGCCCTTGCATTTTCATACACAACTATGTACACACTGCACCTTGGAGAGGTGTAGCTGTGTTTCCCGTGGCATTGTCATGGCTTTGATGGGAAGCTCTGCTAAGCCCTCTGGGTTGACACTGGCCTCAGGCGGTAGCATCCTCATTTGTGTGCATGTGTGTGTGTGTGTGTGTGTGTGTGTGCGCGCGCACACGTGTTTATTGTTGATTCTGCTGCTAACAGACTAATACAGGGCTTTCTGCACCTGTCAGAGCAGACCCATTAATCTCCATGGATACAAGGAAGCCAGCTGATATAAATCAGAGGCAAGGCCACAACAGTCAAACTCAGAGAGGGGAGACGTGGCAGCAGTGATGCTGAGAGCAGAGTCGGCTAAATCTGTTCGTGGTACTTGAGGTCAATGGCCCTCCAGTGGCAGTTGGTCTGTCTTTCTCTTACCCTTTTTTATTTTTGGCAAGTATAAGAAGAGATATTTCAGATCACATTTCCCTGCACCTAAATCCGACCTGTATGTTTTTGTTTCAGTGGGGTTGTTCCAGTGCAGTTGATGGCGACATGATTTAAAGACACACTCCTGGCTGTATGCAGAGCTGCCATTCTGATGGCTTGATTAACCCGCTGCAGATTTGAGTGTATTTGCCAACTGCTGTGGACGTGTTGCTAGGCTAGGATACAGCTGGTCAGTTACAACTCCAGTTAGAGTTTGCTGTTTATGTTTTTGCTGTGTAGTTTTGGGGTTCTAACTGCCAACATTACCACTGTGAAATTGAAACCTGCCTTTTAAGTGGAATTCATTTTCCTTTGTTGCAGCAATTCCACAAAATACTGTGTGAGTGAATGATTTCAGCTTGTTGTTGAGGGAGGAATGAGTGCTCCTCTTTCTGACTTTTCCTGTCCATATTTTTTAGCCAACTGAGGAAATAAACTGTTGAACTTTTTGGCACAAGGACGCTTGAAAAAAGGATAAAGGGAGCGATAAAGAAAAGCGTGGGGTCAGAAAGGAAATAACAGGAAGACAGGAAAGCCAAATGAATGAATGACTGTCTGTGTGAGACGGCAGGAGGGAGACGTTTTTTTGTCATCTGTGAAGTTGACCTAGAGAAAAGAAGAGTTCATAGGGAGTTTTTGAAGAAGAGGAACAAGCGAAGAAAAAGAATGGAGATGAGAAAGAGACTCATGGTGCCTTGGGAGGGGGGTGGAGTTAGTTGGGGTGGGGGTGGGGGGGGGGGCTGCAGTGTACAGTTGTTGACTTTGGGTCGGCAGAGGATGACATCATTCCTCGGCTGCTTCCACAGGAAATAAGGTCACAGTGGGAACCTCAGCCAAGCGGGGAAAGATGCCTGTTTCAACCTAGGCGCACAAGCATACAGATGAATGCATTCATTTATACACGCACGCACGCGCACGCGCACACACACACATACACACACACACACACACACACACACACACACACACACACACACACA